GAGGCCCCGAGTTTTCAGCTCTCGAGCGGCCCAAGCTCTACGCCCGCGCGGGCGTTACTCGGACGGAGGAGGAGGCCTCCTCCTCCTCCTCCTCCCTCCTCCTTCCTCCTCCTCCTCCGCCTCTTCCTCCTCCTCCCTCCAGCCTCCAGCCTTCTTCTTTTTGTTGCTCCTCCTCTTCCTCTTTCTTTTTCTCCTCCTCGTTCTCCTCCTCCTCCCCCCGCCCACTCCTTGCGCCCTCGCGGGCTCCTCTTTTGTTCAGTCTCTCTTCCCACCTGCGCTCGGCCTGGAATTCTTCCGCCTCTGAGTGCACTCCGCCTCCTCCTTTCCTTCGCGGCCGTCTCGTCCCTCTGGACTCGTTTCGTTGGATGGCGTCTGACTGCCCTCCTCCGCCTCCTCCTCCTCCGCCTCCTCCACTCTCATCTTCATCCTTCCTCCTCCTCCTCCTCCTCCTCCTCCCCCTCCTCCTGTCCTTCGCGGCCGTCTCGTCCCTCTTTTTCCCCCTCTTGCACGCCGGCCAATTCGCGTATCCGTCGCCCCGGATCGCCGCTCGCTGGTGCAGCACACTTCTGCCTCGCCGCCGGCGTAAAACGTCTCTTCGCACTTCCTTCGGCGAAGGATTGCAAAAAAAGAAGGATTGCAAAAAAACCTTCGTTGAACGAAGGATTGCAAAAAAAAACCTCGTTCGTTGAAGAAGGTTTTTTTGCAATCCTTCGTTCGTTGAAGAAGGTTGTTTTGCAATCCTTCGTTTTTGCAATCCTTCGTTTTTGCAATCCTTCGTTCAAGCGAGAATGACCCTAGGCAAGAGTGACCTCTCGTGCGCGGGTCATTGAGGGGGCGCAGGGTGGCAAAATCCAAGCGCGCAAGCAGCCGCTATCGCAACGCGCTCAGCGATCCGGGGGGACCCCGGTGAGCCCCGCACCAAGGGTCACCCTAGCGAAGAGTCACTCTTACACGTACGGAGTTGCTTCCTGTGCCGCTCAGTCTAGGCGGCGCGCCTGTGGGAAAGTGAGAAAGGGCGGGCCTTCTCAGAAGGCTCGGAAGTTCCCCGGCCTTCCGAGATGTTTTCTAAGCCTGACCCGGAGACACAGAAAACTTCTCAGAAGGCTGGAGGGCTTCTGAGGAGACCCGCCGCCTTCTGAGAAGGCCTTCTCCGCCTCAGTTCCCCCCCCGTCTCTCGCCGCCGACAATCTGAATGGAGGTGATTTGTCTGATCGTGCACTCTCTGCTCCTGGCAGAGAAGAACGCTATAGCCTCGTCGCTCATGTCTGCCGAACGTAGAAATGACGAGCAAGAGGGCGAGAAGGACGAGCAGGGAAGAGTGCCCGGTGGACGAAGGAGGAAGGGGCAAAAGTAAGCAAAAACAAATAACACAAAAGCATGAACACAAACTTTTGGCGCTCCTCGCGGATTCCTTGACCTGCGCTGGACACTCCTTCCTGGCGCGCGGAGCGCGCCAGGAGCGGCGCCAGAGGCGCTGTCAGGGGGGTCCCAGCGCGGGCTCAAGAAATCCGGATTCCTGACGGGGCACGGAAGTAATTACACCTGGGTGGTTCCGTCACCTTTTTATGGCCCAGGGGTGGTTGCCATTTTGCGCTCCTCCCTACGCGCACTCCCCGCTCTGGTACAGCGTGATGCCAAGGTATTCGAATCTGCGCGGAGCGCCACAAGTTTCTGTTTGTGGCGTTTTCTCTTCTTCGAGAGGTGGAGCCCAGCCCCCGTGGCAGCCTGGGGGTCGTCGGCGCCGGAGAGCGTCAGCAGCTCCGCAGGAGAGGTCGCCAGCACCTGGGGAGGTGCCCGGGGGGGGGGGCAGGAGAGGCTTTGTCTTGTTCCCTCAGCAGAGGGCAGGAAATCCCCGCCCCATAACAACCACCCCGGCAAGCGAGGCCGTTTAGCAAACGCACCCAAAGGAGGAATCGAACAGGGCAGGGCTTTTAGTAAACACCCAGGGCCGTTTAGTAAACGCAAATTGTCCGGTCTGGGTGGTTTTTCCTCCCTCGACTCTGTGCCTTTCCAACTTGGTCCGCGGGTGCTCATGCTCGCCCTGGGTCTCCTCCGAGACCAAGCGCGGGTCGGTCGCCCGAGGCCAATGAACGCGCACACTGGATGCGGGTACGTGCAGCTGCCCCCGGGAGACATTGCACCGACGAGTAGGATTGCTTGTCCATGCTCGCGTGCTGGCTTGGGGTTGAGCACCTGCTCGGAGACGCCACAGGAACCCTTCGGCCGACGCACTTGGGACCTGGTCTGATACCCTTCGCCGTGTTGCATCCTCCTCGCACAGTCGAAACGGAACCCGCACTTCTTATTCGAACAGCACCACGTGGCCTGCCAGACCTCCATACACGACACCTGCACGCTGGTGGAGGGCGAGATTATGAAACTCCAAGCCCGGGGTGGACCTGGCGAAAAGCGTCCCCGCCCGACAGGGGCGTGAATGCGTCTGGGCGGCCCCCCGATTTCTGTCGCACGGCGACGCGAAACTGAGGCTCGAAGCTCCGCG